AGATAAGAAGGCTGTGACCCTGAACACCATGACCAAACCTTGAAAGATCTGTTATTTTGAAAACCTGCCTGCCCCCAACTCCCTTTATTTCTCTGAAATTTTCTTATTCTTTGGAATTCTGGTCTCTGTTAACCCAGACCAGCCTGGTCAGTGTGATCAATTTTGGACAAACTCTAGACAGCATCCAAATTTGCTGAAGGTTTTCCCCAATTGAAGTCTTCATTGCTGGGTCCTGGGTGAATGTTTTTCTGCCAGGTCTTTGAGGTAAGATGGGAGATGAATTCTCAACCCAGGAAGCCTGTGTCACTCATCACATCTTTCCCTGTTATCTGTCATCTTCTCCTATGCCAGTGCTCCTTTCTCCCAATCCTTTACTGTCCTCGAACACATACATGCTGTTCGAGTGTGGCAATACAGTATATAATGGTGGAGATACATTTTTGGATACAGAATACCTACAAATGAGGTAATTTAAAAATAGAATTTGAAGTTTGTTGGTTTGGCACAAGTTTTAAGCACCACACTGTTGTTTTTGGTGCTTCCGATTGTCATTTTACTTTTCTAGTTTTGAACTGTTTGGACATCTGAAATTAATTTGAAACATTTCAGACTGTTTTAAACCAGTCTATATCAGTCTAAATAAATAAGAACAATTTTATAGATAACTGTAGTTATCAAACTAGTTTCCAGCAGTTTAATAGAGTTTGAGCAAGTGTGACTCAATTGAAAGCAGATTTAATTTGTCAGCAGAGTTTGATCCAGTAAAATATACTCAGAACCAACTAAGACTTATAGGAGCCTGTCAGAACCTGCATGTCCAAGTCAGAGCCTATTTGAGCTAGCTAAAACCAGTCTGAAGCAATTAAAGCTAATTACAATGAGACTCCATTGATTTTGGTTAGATATATCAGGTTTTAGCCAAAGCCAGAAAGTAGTTTTGTAGGAGAACCTCTTTTAACTCACCCTAAAATAATATGAACAAGATTCTTTTGAACAACTATGAACTTGCTAAAACGGATGGGTGTATTTTATATGGATTTGAACCTGTTTTTAAGTTGATCAGAACTCTTTTGAAATAAACATATCTTTATTAAATGAATTGCAAATGGTTAGAACCAGCTAAAAAAGATCAGAATTAGTTTGAAAGTGATCTTTGTTAACTCAGCCGACCACTTTGAACCAGTGAGCAATACTTTGTGCTAGAAAAACATGTTTTAAGCTGGCCAGAGTCAATTTGAAAATTGTTCTAGGTCTTCAGACTCAGTCTGAATGTCCACAATGGAGACAATAAGTGAGCTAACAGTTAAGGACCCAGTATATGCCAACCGTTGTGCTGGGCATTCCATAAACAGTATCTCATTGAATCCTCAGAACAATGGTGTGAGGTGTAGTATATATTCTTTTTTATAGAACAGAAACCTGGAAATCTAAGGCTCAGAGACATCCAAGTAATTGGTATCTGGGAGATTTGGGATTTCAAACCCAGCTCTGCTTGATTTTATGAGTTTCCTATTAGGTTACCTTGTAAAATACCATACTAGTGGTCACTTTAAAGCCCAATATTGCATTTGTAACAAAAATGAGTAACGGACATGAAGCTTGGGGTAGAACAGACATTGGACTTGGAATTAGGAGATCTAGATTCCAGATTGTGCAAATCAGTCTGCTTCTCTGGGTTCTGTTTTATCCTTTAGAAAACTGAACCCAGAGAGTGGAAGGTCTGAACATTTATTTTCAGATCAAGAAAGCAGATAATTGTCTTAAAGATACAATCTGAAAAGTGTGAACTATGATTAATATAGATGGTGGTATCTATACTTTCAGTTTGCGGTATTTGGTTTGTTAATAGTCCCTTTATGATTACTTGGTCACTATTGCTATTGCGAATAGAAAACAAAACTCATGAAGATCACTTGTAGACTTACATGTGTGATTATCCATGGAAATGAAACACATTAGAGATAGTTTAAGTCTTTGAATTCCACTTAAGTGGGTTTAGAGAATTCTAGAATATGATGCCATTAGTGACAGCATTTTTTCATGTACCTTAAGTGATATAAAAAACATAGTTATACCAACTTTTTTTTTCAAATTAAAAATAAAGAGGAAATAAGGCAGCCACAGTGTCTTCTTGCATCATTCTCACTGCGGGATCGGTATTGTTTTCTGCTGCTCCATTCAGTTTGAGGGGAAGCCCCCAAATGAGTCAACATTATCTGGACTTGCTTTCCAATTCTTAGCTCTTATTTCCAATAACTTAGAGCCAGGTGTGATGCTGTGATGTGACATGCCATAATGTTGACGTCCAAGTTGTCGGTTTTTGGAGAGGAATTCTGTTGTATGTCATTAATACTGGTGACCTACACTTGCAAATACCCAACTATAAAGATTGGTAAGGCATCATCTGTGAAGTGTCACTCTTTATGGTGTGCAAATAGAATTTTGAATGTTTGTAGAGGCTCTGCCCTTATCCACGGGCTAACCATACCTGAAACGTGAGGTTGCAGATCTGCACTGAAGGACTCTGAGGAAACACACTGCAGTGGCTCTTGGGGTTCAGCATTCAGGAGTTTTCAGCGTAAGGTGAGTCGCCAAGTTGAGGATAGGGTAAGGGAGGCAACGTTGAAAACCAGTCAGTATTCTTGTCTGAGTTTTTATTAATTTTATGGATACATAGAAATAGTCCTATAGGAAGCACTGAGTATGGCAGCCAAGTTTCTGGATATGGGGCTGGGTAAAAAGGAGATAATGCCAGGAGTCAGTAGCATCTAATATAGGACGTCTGGCATGTATATAGATAGATAAATATGTATGTTTTTGAATAGTCATGTAGAGTTGTCAGTGTTAATGAGATAGTTATTTTTATGATTTTCAGGAGAGTTTATTGGCATTGGGGGGAATGGAGAGAGGTTGGTTAATGTGTACAAGCATACGGTTAGATGGAAAGAATAAATTCTAATGTTCAACAGTAGACTAGGGTGACTATAGTTAACAAAAATGTATTGTGTGTTTCAAAATAGCTAGAAGAGAGTACTTGAAATGTTCTCAATGCATAGAAATGATAAATACTCGAGGTAATAAATACCCTAAATACCTTGATCATTACATTCTGTGCATGTAACAAAATATTACATGTACCCCATAAAAATGTACAAATATTATGTATCAATAAAATTTTAACAAAAAAGGAAACCTTCCCTGGAGAGAGATCCTATTTCTGGTTGGACTGATATTTTGGGTTTGAATCTATTTAGAGGGTAAAAACAAATCATGAAAAGTGCTGACTGCAAAGAACCAAAAATAGCCATGGTTAAGTATTGCTGATATAAATGAATTTTTCTTCCTTAAGGTGGACTTTTGTTTTAGTCAGTATTGAAGAGCTGAACTTTTAGCAGTTCTTGATAGAATACCCAGGTAAATATAGGTAAGCGAGCCCTTGGTTGTGGGACTATGGTCTCTGAGCAGTGACTGTTTAAATCTGGAATTCAGTTCCCAAGTGAGCAGTGATACTCCAAAGAAGTCTGACTTAATATGTAGTACATATTAATAGTAATATGTAAGGAAGCAGGGAGTAAATTTACTTGTGAAATAACAGTGTCTTTGAAGAAACTGTAATAACATGTGAAAATGAATAGAATAAATGAAATTGCCTAGATGTCCATGTAAAAAGAGAGAAAAGGCAAGGTTCTAGCACTAGGAGACTTTCTTTCTTTCTTGTTTTGAATTTCCATAGGTTTTTGGGGGAACAGGTGGTGTTTGGTTACATGAATAAGTTCTTTAGTGGTGATTTCTGAGATTTTGGAACACCCATCACCCAAGCAGTGTACACTGTATTCAATCTGTAGTCTTTTATCCCTCACCCCCCTCCCACTCTTTCCCCCGAGTCCCCAAAGTCCATTGTATCATTCTTATGCCTTTACATCCTCATAGCTTCACTCCCACTAATGAGTGAGAACATATGATGTTTGGTTTTCCATTCCTGAGTTACTTCACTTAGAATAGTCTTCACTTCCATCCAGATTTCTGTGAATGCCATCATTTCATTCCTTTTTGTGGCTGAGTAATGTTCCATGGTGTGTGTGTGTATATGTATATGTATGTGTGTGTGTATGTATATGTATGTGTGTATATATGTGTGTGTGTGCGCATATATATCTATGTGTGTGTATGTGTGTGTATATGTATATATATCTATCTCACAATTTCTTTATCTACTCATTGATTGGTGAGCATTTGGACTGGTTCCTTATTTTTGCAATTGCAAATTGTAGCACTAGGAGACTTTGAAAAAGGAGGGGAAATTGGAACCACTTGTACTCTAACAATTACTGTTATTCCTTATAACATTCTCCTTCCTCTATTTTTCTTGTATTAGTTTTTGTTCTATATAGTCTGTAGATAAGACTTAGTGACTGTTACTTTCTTGTTGATTATCATTCTCACTTGGAATTTTTGTCCTATTTTGGTACTATAATGTGTATGTTTTTATTTTTATTTATTTTTTTATTTTGAGACAGAATTTCACTCTTGTTGCCCAGGCTGGAGTGCAATGGCGCAATCTTGGCTCACCACAACCTCCACCTCCCGGGTTCAAGCGATTGTCCTGCTTCAGCCTCCCGAGTAACTGGGATTATAGGGATGCACCACCATGCCCGGCTAATTTTTGTATTTTGTAGAGATGGGGTTTCTCCATGTTGGTCAGGCTGGTGTCGAACTCCCGACTTTCGGTGATCCGCCTGCCTTGGCCTCCCAAAGTGCTGGGATTACATATATGTTAAATTAAAACTACACTGTTAATTACTATTTCAATAGCTTCTCATCTAGCTAGTTATTGGGTCTTCAAGGATGGTGACCAATATGTATGTAACCCTCTTTTCATACAACCTGTAGACATATAGGTTAACATTAGGTGTTAAGCTGAATATTGTCGTCATTTTTTTAATGGATAATTAATGTTTTCTAATGGATTTTAATTAAAAAAATTTGTGTGTATTTTACAGGTGAACCACTGAGTTCTTCATTATGTCTGATGGAGATTATGATTACCTCATCAAGTTTTTAGCTTTGGGAGACTCTGGCGTAGGGAAGACCAGTGTACTTTACCAATATACAGATGGTAAATTTAACTCCAAATTTATCACAACAGTGGGCATTGATTTCAGGGAAAAGAGAGTGGTAAGTTCTGTATCCTTCTTTGTAAAAATGTAATCTTTGAGTCAACATTTGCTGGTCTGTTTAGTTTACTTTGTAGGAATCAGGAGGACAAAGGTCAGGATCTGAAATTAAAAGGTACGTAGGAAAGTGAGTTGTATTCAATCCAGGCAACATGATTGAAAAGGTTGTGCTGACAACACTTCATATAAAACCAGGCAGACAAAGTGGAAGACAGTTCTTTAAAATGTCACCTTGGTACTCTTTTGGCTTGTATCTTCCCTTCTGGACTCCAATAGTTATTTGTCTTGAAGCCTGCCAGCCACTTTGCCCCTCATACTCTTGTTTTATGGGCTGTATCTTCCACCTTTGGTATCTTATTATTTTTAATGGGATTTCTCCTAATAAAGTCTCAGCAATTCCGCATGGAATACTAACTGGCAGAACTCATCACTGCTGCCGGGAGGGTGAGGTTGGAGTAGGAATGGGGAATGCCGGTAGTGAATGTGATGTTCTGCAAAATGTTGAAGAGAGAAGCTTTTATTTACTTATTTTTTTAAGGACTTTAAGACTGAAAGTTATTCTAGCGTTGGAGGGGAAGGCAGAAAGTCATTGTGTCACAGTTGCAGATGAGGAAAGACAGCCTTCTCCTTAGATTACATTTGTTGCTGAAAAATCCATTGTTAGCATGAAGCAGGTAAACAAGTGGTCAGGAAACTAATGACAAAGGTCCTTTAATGGATCATATTCTGTCAGGGGGAAAGGTCCCTGGCTTTTAGGACAGAAGAACGTTCTCTTTTGCCCATTCTAGGTCTTTTATTCTACTACCAGAGAGTCTTATAGAGATTAAGACCCACTGAATAACAATAGGGCCCTAATGAAATTTTTAGTATTGACGTATAGTTGATAGAATCTATATATATGTATGTGATTATTTTTGTTGGTTACTTATTTTATAACTTAAAACATAGATTTGTTGAGATATAATTCACAAGAAAAGGAAATCCATCCACCTAAAGTATAAAAATCCAGTGGTTTTTAGTATATTTGGAGTTGTGTGGCCATCACAGCCATTTAATTTCAGAATAGTTTCATACCTCATACCTATTAGCAGACATTCCTCTTTCTACCTCCCCTTAGCCACCATGAATTTTCTATCTGGCTTCTGCACACATCATATAAATGGAATAATATATGGCCGTTTGTGTCTGGCTTCTTACACTTGGCCTGATGTTTTCAAGGATCTTCCATGTTGTAGCACGTATCAGGACTTCATTACTTACAATGGCTACATAATACTCTTTTGTATTGATACACCATTTTGTTTATCCATTTGTCTGTTGATAGATATTGTGTTCTTTTTCTATTTTCTAGTGTATCATTTTAATTCCTTTTTTAAATTATATATTTTTGAGTTCTTTTTTAATAGTTCCTTTGGGGATTACAATTATTTTAATTTTTCACAATCTAATTTTGATTAATAGCAACTTAATTTTAATGCTGTATAAAACTTTGCTCTTATATGGCTCTGTTTTCTCCCCTTGTTTTGTGCCATTATTGCTATACAAATGACATCTTTCTACATCGTGTGCCCATCATCGACACAGCTTTACAATTATTGCTGTATGCAGTTAATTTTTCTTTTCTTTTCTTTTCTTTTTTTTTTGAGACAGGGTCTTTGTTGCTCAGGCTGGAGTGCAGTGGTGAGATCTCGGCTCACTGCAACCTCTGCCTCCCAGGTTCAAGCAATTCTCCTGCCTCAGTCTCCCAAGTAGCTAGGATTACAGGCACTTGCCACCACGCCCAGCTAATTTTTTATATTTTTAGTAGTGCTGAGGTTTTGCCATGTTGGCCAGGCTGGTCTTGAACTCCTGGCCTCAAGTGATCTACCCATCTTAGCCTCCCAAAGTGCTGGGGGATTACAGGCGTGAGCCATCACTCCCAGCCTGCAGTTAAATTTTAATCTGGTGGAGGAAAAGGGCTACAAAGAAAAAAACATTTATACTGTTTTTTATATTTACTATGCAGTTACATTTTTACTGGCGCTCATTATTTCTTTGTGTGGATTTAAGTTACTGTCTAGTGTCCTCTCAGCTCAGTCTTGAGAGTTGTCTTTAGTATTTCTTGTAGGGCAGGTCTGCTAGAGATGACTTTTCTCAGTTTTGTCTTAATTTATCCTTTAATTTTAGAGGACAGCTATATTACTAATTTTTAAATTCTTTGAATATATTTATAATTCCTGATGTAAAGTCTTTGTCTGATAAGTTTAACATCTGGGCCTTCTCAGGAATAATTTGTATTAGTTGCTTTTTTCCTGTGCATGAGCCATACTTTCCTGTTTCTTTGTGTGTCTTACAAGTTTTGCTGAAAACTGGACATTTAAAATAATGTGTCTATTCTAGGATTCTTTCCCCTACCTGGGTTTCTTGTTTTTACTGCATATTTATTTATTTTTATTGTTGCTGTTTGTTTGTTTAATAATGTTTCTAGGATAATTCTGCAAAATCTGTATTCTTTGTAGGCAGCTACTGAAGTCTCTGCTCAATGAACTTAGTGGACAGCTAATGAGTGGACGAAGTTTATTAAATTCCTTGAACCAATAAGTCTCTTAGCTTTTTCTGAGAGTCTCTGTGTGTTTGTTGGGGTATGTGTTTAATACGACTGCAGGCAGTTTACAACTCTGCCTTAGCTTTTATTTTCTGCCTAAGAAGAACCTCAAAGTCAGTCAGAAGTGAGAGATTAGGACCTTTTTAGATCTTTCCTGGGCATTTGTAGAGCCCTGCCCATGAACATGGCCTTTTAGCTTTCAAGGAATATTTGGGAGCATTATAGAAATCTCATTTCCTATTTTTAAAATTTTGGTTTTTTTTTTTGTTGTTGTTAGACTTTTGTTAGCCCTAAGTGATATTGCTACCTCTGGTAGCTGTGATGTTAAATAAATTACTGCTGATAGTTTTCAACAAATGCCCTCGGGATAGGGCTGTTCTCAAAGAGCAAGCTCTGATGAGGTCAAATAAAAACAAAGCTGGGGCATGGAGCTTTCCAAGGGGCTTCCTGACAATTTTTCTCAGTATGGGACTTTTAGGGAGCTCCAAATCTATTGTGCCTCCACTGTCCACAGTGGTGGCTAGGCTGATGTTTTCACAACTACCACATTTGTGCAAGTGGTTTTTAAGTCTTCTAAAAGCTGAAGTGAGGGGGATGGGAATAGGGCAAGGTAAAAAACACCTCGAAACTTACTGTTTTTACTGATATTCAGCTGTTTTTCTTGAATAAATGCTCTTTGGAATGTTGCAAGTCTTTGTTAATTTCCAGAGTACTGAAAAAGTTGATTTGGACAATTTTTACCAGCGTTTTTGTTGCTATTGTGGAGGAAGAAATTTTTGACGGTCCAGGGTGGGAGCTAAACAATAGGTACGCATGGACATAAAGACAGAAACAGTAGATACTAGGGTCTCCAAAAAGGGGGAAGGGAGCGAGACAGGGGCTGAAAAACTACTTACTGGGTACTACGTTCACTGTTTGGGTGATGAGTTCAATAGATGCTCAAACCCCAGCATTATGCAATCTATCTATGTCACAATCCTGCACGTGTACCACCTGGTTAAACAAACAAAAAAGATGAGATTGGAAAAAGTCATGGAAATGTAATATTTCCTGAAACTAGTGACCCAAGAGAACTTTGAGGAAAGATAAGCTAATTATATTATATTTTATACAAGTTATTTTGTATACATATTTTTCAATATATTTATTTTATATCTATATATATATTTCAGTATAACTTACTACATTACCTGGATATAATTATTTGACATAAATACAAACATGGTTGTATTCCATATGGGATTCTCTTTGGAAGTTTAGATGCCTTAGGGATTTGTACTGAATAAAAAGGTGAGAAGGGTTGACTGGTGTCAGAAGTTCTCTTTTATTTTCTCTTTCACTTTGCTGTTTTAGGTGTACAGAGCCAATGGGCCGGATGGAGCCATTGGCAGAGGCCAGAGAATCCACCTGCAGTTATGGGACACAGCAGGGCAGGAGAGGTATGAGATCTTCAGTTATGTGCTCCTTACCGAAGGAAAGGGAGAAATAATTACATTCTTTAAACAGTGACCTGAGCGGGAAAAAGCCAGCCAATTCATTGGTTTGTACTTGGATAAAGAATGCTGCCAATTTAGCAGGAATTTTGTCAGTCTGAGATGAGAATGGTGGCTTTATTTCATACAGGGTCAAAGGAGAGGTTAGGATTCTTACTTGTGGACTTTTTTCTTTTCCTTCTTTTAATTTTTTGACATAGACACTTTGCTCCATTTCCTTTTGCTATTTACTCAACCACAAGAAAGTGGCCAAGTTACATGCGTTATTCTTACCTGATTGTTGAAACCTAGCGGAAAATCTGGTTGGAATTAATTCATATGACCAGAGAATACGTGACCAAAATAAGCCACATGAAATCTTGATATAAAGTTCTTTAGTTAGCTAAAACTTCTGTTTTCTCTCAAAACCACCTTGAAGAATTTGTTTTTTAACTTTTTATTATGGAAAACTTCAAGGATATTCAAAAGTGGAAGGACCATATGATAAACCCAGGTTCCCATTACTCAGCTTCAACAATTATGAAATTGTGACCAATAGAATTTCATTTCTACCCCTTACCTCTTGTCACTCCCACCCCCTTACCATATGATTTGGAAGCAAATTCCAGACATCATATTATTTCATTTGTAATACTTGTGGTATGTAGCTCTAAAAGATAAGAACTGTTTTTTTTTTTTTTTTTTTTTTTTGAGGCAGAGTTTCACTGTTGTTGCCCAGGCTGGAGTGCAATGGTGCGATCTCAGCTCACCACAACCTCTACCTCCCTGGTTCAAGTGATTCTCCTGCCTCAGCCTCCCAAGTAGCTGGGATTACAGGTGTGCACCACCACACCTGGCTACTTGTGTATTTTTAGTAGAGACGGAATTTCTCCATGTTGGTCAGGCTGGTTTCGAACTCGTTACTTCAGGGATCCACCCGCCTTGGCCTCCCAAAGTGCTGGGATTACAGGCGTGAGCATGGCCCCTGGTCAAGAACTCTTTTTAATAAAAACATTGATGAAAAGTATTTGAGAAAACCTAATATTGCTGATTAGATGACAAATTCATACCAATATTTTCTTCCCTGGAGCCTGCCTGTCAGTTACAGATTTTACATATAGGCAAAGATAGAGGAAACTGACTGGTGGTGGGGTGGGGTTGGGGGTGGGGAGAGAGAGAGAGAAGACAGAGAAGACAGGAGGATAAAGCCTTGGAAGGCAGAGTACCAAGACTTCTAGAATAGGGTCTGAGTCAAGACATTCTTACCTTCAAGTCAAACAAAGGGCAATCAGAGATAAGAGATCTCTGCATATTCTGAAATTAAAAGATGATGGAACACATTGTAATGTTAAGTCAAGCTTTCACAGAAGGAAAACATACACTATTGCATTTGGCCAAATTAACTCATAATTGTACAATAAATTCTTGGCTGAGACTAAGATCACAAGCTGGTTCTTGTCATCCCTGTTCAGCAGGCTGGGTTTTCAAATCACATGGTCTGTTAACACTTAAACTGATAAAAGTGATAACTATCCTCTACACTTTTGAAATATCACCATGTAGCTTGTCATTGGTAAACTTTTTAAGAGGCTGAAGGCATTGCTTGTAGTTGTATATTTCAGGAGTGGGGCGATGGTTTAACTTACCATTCTGCTTTTATGTTCCTAGGTTTCGTAGCTTAACAACAGCATTCTTCAGAGATGCTATGGGTTTTCTTCTACTTTTTGATCTGACAAACGAGCAAAGTTTCCTCAATGTCAGAAACTGGATAAGTAAGTGTTATTGTTCCCCAGTGTCCTGCTACACACTCCCCTCTTATTTATAGAATGCCGTCTTACACTCTACTTCTGTGATACATTGTTTTGGAGGAGATCTTAGTGCAAGTACTATTTTAAGGAGCAAGGTTTTTAGTTTAGGGACAAAGATAAGTGAAATACGCTGCTTCTCCCTGGTACTGATAACTTTGATTTGTTGAGTACTTCCTGTGCTCCAGGTACAAGGCAGCACTTTATGTGTGCTCTCCTTTTCAGTCTGTCCCACAGAACAGACTCTTTTTCCCATTTTATAGATGAGGAAGTAGAAGCCTAGAGAAGTTAAATCTCTAAGTATCTGCTTGTCTATTGTATGCTATCAGTTCTTCTATCATCTCTGGGCATTACATGTATATTACATAGATGCAGATAGCTTTTGAAGACTTAATGGATCATACCCCTGGCTTCATGTCTTTTCTGTGCTTAGAGTCCCCTTCTAGCTTTTAGGGTTAGAGCATCTTTCAGGAGGATTCTGCCATGGAAAACTCTACAACTGCATTGGTAAAAGTGGTCCCCAGTGCAATATATGTCAACCTTTATTTTGGAGAGATTTTAACCTCCTAAATGGTTCGTAGCCATTTAGAATTCTGCTACTTGACTGCATAACAGCTTTCAAATGTATGTTTTCCTTATTTGGTCATATTAGTGTAACCCTAGAGAAGCTATTAGAGAAGCCTGTAATATTAAATTTTTAACGTCTAAATCTATAAAACACCGATTTAAAAAGACCTGATACTTAAAAATTACCTACTGTTTTGGGATTATGAAAGGGTAATTGGCTGTAGTTTTGATAGTAGAAAACCTTATTTTAAAAATGAGTTTAAAAATAATTTAGTGCACTGTGGTTTTCACATACTTTGTGTCTGATCCTCACAATCACCCTGGGCAAAGATTCAGGTCAGTGTTGCATCCTTATTTCAGGAGAAGGATATTGAGCCTTAAAAAGTAATAGACTTATCCAAAGATAGGAAGCTTTGGCTGTCAGTTTAATGGCCTTTTATGACTGTTCTCAAGTCAGTTGGCCACTAAGAGTTGAAGAGCTATTAATTACTTTAAATATGAGTTCCCCAAATATAATAATGCTTACTGGGACTTCACTTTGCTAGATGCCTGGCTGAGTTGCATACCTCATTATTTCCCTTGTAGCTGAATGACAGTGGCTACTTATGGTCCCTTACTCTCAGTCCATGCTCATCATCCCTCCTTTGCATCATCAGAACAAGTTGTGGGGCTTTTTAAAATCAACCATTTTACAAGGATCACTGGAGAGTGTTTATAGAATCTTAGCATCGAAAAATAGCCTACCTGTTTTTCACAGGTAGACACTAAAACTCTGAGACATTAGATAAATATTGCCTACCCTGGCTAACTATGGATAAAGAACAAAATTATGTGAAAATATGGATACACATTGATGCATTTTGTTTTCCTTAGTAAAAGAATCTTTATTGCTCAGTTAGATAAAGAACACTTATATGTACTGAGGATTTTATGTCTTTAATGGAAAGTATTCTGCACCCCCTACCATTTAAACAAAAAGGTATAATGTTCAGTGTCAGAAGTGGTAATATCAAATCTTAATTAGGAATCAACATTTGTTAATTATCTGTACTTTTAATTTTTCGTCTTCCTGTAAGCATTTTGACTATTACAAGGATCATTCATTTGTTATCTTTTTTTTTTTTTTTTTTGAGAGGGAGTTTCTGCTCTTGTTTCCCAGGCTGGAGTGCAGTGGTGCGGTCTCGGCTCGCTGCAACCTCCGCCTCCTGGGTTCAAGTGATTCTTCTGCCTCAGCCTCCCAAGTAGCTGGGATTACAGGCGCACAACAACACGCCCAGCTAATTTTTGTATTTTTTAGAGACTGGGTTTCACCGGGTTGGCCAGGCTAGTCTTCAACTCCTGACCTCAGGTGATCTGCCCGCCTCGGCCTCCCAAAGTGCTGGGATTATAGGTGTGAGCCACAGTGCCCGGCCCATTTCTTATCTTTTAATTAAAATGATAGCTTAATACACACAAATACACACACGCGCACGCACGCGCACACACACACACACACACACACAAAATCAGTGGTGAGTGCCAGAACGCAGTGTTGCATTAAAGAAGTAGCTGACTCGTGGGCCCTGATTGGCCTGGGAGAGGAGAGCAGGTCTATATACCCTCCCCTTTCCCTTTGCTCCTTGCAGACCCTTCCCTCTCACTCAGTCTCTCCATGCCCTCCTGACAAGGGTGATAAAAGTCTAAAGTAAGCCCCACTCAGTTGAGGAGATAAAACAGAGGCTCAGTCCTCTGGGCCTGGATTGAAATCTGAAAGGAATTCGGTAGTGTGGTAGTCACTGCCCTGTCTTCCTGGAGTTCAGAGGAGTAAGCAAGTCATGCCCGGAGTCACTCTTCATCCAGTGCTAGTGTGTTTCCTAAGGAAACTTTAAAGTAGCCTGCATTTCTAAACTTTCTTCTGTAGACTCACGTAAGTGGTGCAAGAACCCAACAGTATATATTTTACATATTTTTATCTCTTTAGTTTTTATTCTCATTATTCTCTCTGTCTGAAAAACCCTTTCCACACCTGCCCCCATTTTTTTTTTTTTTTTTTTTTTCTCTTTAGTTTTATTCTCATTATTCTCTGGTCTGAAAACCCTTTCCACACCTGCCCCCATTTTTTTGAGATGGATGTCTCATTATCGCCCAGGCTGGAGTGCGGGCCGGATCTCCAGTTCACTGGTGAAGTCTAGCCTCCTGGGTTCATGCCATTCTCCTGCCTCAGCCTCCTGAGTAGCTGGGACTACAGGTGCCCGCCACCTCGCCCGGCTAGTTTTTTGTATTTTTTAGTAGAGACGGGGTTTTACCATGTTAGCCAGGATGGTCTCGATCTCCTGACCTCGTGATCCTCCCGTCTCAGCCTCCCAAAGTGCTGGGATAACAGGCTTGAGCCACCGTGCCCGGCCACCTGCCCCCATTTTTTAACCAACTGGAGTTCTGCTTATTCTTTAAAACCTAGCAAAGATGGCCTCTGTGAGATTTTCTGTGATAACCTTAGTTGTGTTAGATTTTTTCCCTCTTCTTAACCCCTGTTACATTTTATACTGTTTATAGGGTCCTTATCACGTCCAGTACCAGATTGTAGTTATTTATGTAGGTGACTTTTTTCTTAGTGAAGTTTTTAAAATAACTGATTAATTTACTTTTTAGATAAGCACAATCTTACTAGAAAAATTAGGAAAAATGAGACAAAAAGAAGAAATCACCAATAATCATGCTTCCTAGACTGCCCAAAATAAATACTGGTAACCAGAATTCCTGGTGATACTTACATGCTCTTCTAAATGCTTTAATATATTAACTTAGTAGTTCTCAAATGTGAATGTGCATCTCGGTCACCTGGCGGACTTTTTAAAACACAGATTTCTAGCCCCATTTCCAGCATTCCTGATTCAGTAGAGCTGGGGTGGGACCTGAGACTTGGCATGTCAACAAATTCTTAGGTTTTGCTGAGGCTGGTGGCTCACAGTCTACCTGCAGAATTGCTGGATTAATTCATTTTAATCCTTACCTTGAATGTATAAAGTAAGTAGTATCATTATCACCATTTACAGATGGGGAAATTGAAGCAGTCAAATAGCTTCATCAGGATCACACAGCTAGTAAATGGCAGAGCCAGGATTCAACCCTAGGTACACTGGATTCTGAGTCCTTGCTCATAGCCATCACACCGGGCATGGACCCTGTAACACCTTATAAGGCATTAACAGAGCACAGAACCACTCTGGAGACCAGAAAGATAATGAGGTAACCATGAAGCAAGTCTTGAAGGAAGGTTGTGGTTAAGTATTCAACGATGTGGGAACAGCATGTGTAACAACCTGGAGGAAAGAAAGGGCATGGCTTTTCATGAAATGGTACACAGTTTAGTCCCTCCTCTGTAGGTCTTATTACCCCAGTTGCCCCATGAGAGCAAAGAACTGTTGTGAAATACCATGCAGAGTATCACGCCTGTGCTAATGCTCAGTAAACACCTACCTCCTTGACTTTCTCATGATAAGATATAATGAACACGACTTCGTAATGAGGAACTAAAATGTCCACACTTTTCTGGTTAACCATGATGAAAAAATAAATTAGGCCATAAACTTTGAAGTATGACTTACTGTGGAAGTTTAGGCCTTAATTTTATTCTGGGGTTGATGAATAAGAAATGAGGTGTTATTTTCGTACTTTGAAAGATTAAACTATTTAGCTTAGTGAAGCTCTTTGGTTTGAGTCAATTGCTTTTTATAATTGTGCCTATTGGCAGGTTTTCAGGTGAAATAAATGCTGTGGAAGAAGAATTATAGTCCTCTGCTTCCACTTGGTTTTGGTGACAGAATCATTTACTGTTTATTCTGGGTCTTTTCTTCTCATTGAAGCCTGTATCTTGTTTGTTTTAAATGAATTGATTCTGCCCTAGGATAATAGAAACATGTGAAAAACATTTTGGATAGAAATAGATTAGTTTGGAGAAAAACAATTCTTTTAGAAATGTCATTGCTATGGAGAAAAAGACACATAAAAACAGTTTTAAGATTAGCAATAAACCCTAGGAACTCCTCCAAGTTTCTTTTCAAATAGCCATCATAAAAAAGAAGGGTGTTTTGTGTGTGTGTGTGTGCACACGTGTGTGTGTGCACATGTAGGCCCTCACACTTGAGAGGTAGCACATTCTCTTATCAACTCTCTGATGTCAATAAACTGGGGTATGTGCTTAAGAATGGTTTTATATTTCTGCCCCAACTATTCAGCTTTACAGATAAGATTATTGATGCTTTGAAAGCATTATATCAATTCCCAATATCTATATATACATTACAGTCTTCAAAGCACTTTTGCATGTTTTGTTCATTGATCATACACTTACATTATTGTTTACGTATATAATAAACTTTCCTATATTAATAGGCCAGCTACAGATGCATGCATATTGTGAAAACCCAGATATTGTGCTATGTGGAAACAAGAGTGATCTGGAGGACCAGAGAGCAGTGAAAGAAGAGGAAGCCGTAGCACTTGCAGAGAAATATGGGTGAGTATTTTTGTGGAGAAGTCTAGAGAAAGCATTTTCGATATAAACATTAGCAGGAGAATGGTAATGAAAAAGACAAAAGTGGGACATTAAAGCAAAACCTCAGCCATAGGCCTTGGGGCATGTTGAATGTTTCCTTTTTATATTATATGATAGTAGGATCCTTTGAAAATGCATGTGGCAAGGGCTTCCTTCAGTGCTTTGGTCCCACTTTCTCAAGCTCTTGGGATTTGCAGAGAGACAACTTTGAGTTGTCTCAGAGATGCCTTAAGAGTGTAAGGTCTTCTTTCCAAGATGCAAATAGGAGACTCCTGGGGTAAAGAAATCCTCCATGTTAAGCAAGGAAATTTCTTTTTTCTTTTCCTTTCTTTTCTTTTCTTTTTTTTTTTTTTTTGAGACAGAGTCTCACTGTGTTGCCTAGGCTGGAGTGCAGTGGCATAATCTCAGCTCACTGCAACCTCTGCCTCCCGGGTTCAAGCGATTCTCCTACCTCAGCCTCCCGAGTAGGTGGGACTATAGGAGTCCACCACCACGCCTGGCTAATTTTTGTATTTTTAGTAGAGACGGGGTTTCACCATATTGGCCAGGCTGGTTTTGAACTCCTGACCTTGTAATCCATTCACCTCAGCCTCCCAGAGTGCTGGGATTACAGACATGAGCCACCACACCCAGCCTCAGCAAGGAAATTTCAAAGTCAGTTCATATACTATTATAGAGAACGCTAGCATATAAGAAGATCTTATTGGTTATTGCAGACTAGGTGCTGGTTTTGAAATTTCTATGCTGGGAGAGGAGTGTGAGATCTCCTTCGGCTTAGTCTATGGTCTTGTGGTGGAGGGTCGGCAAAATACTGTTTTCCTTGAGTTCTGGGAATAGGATCATAGCAGCAGCAGCAGCATGAATTGGACATGAAAGAAGTGGTCAGCTGCTGCTTATTAAAGTATTAGTGTTAAGGGTGCCTCTAAAAGGAATTTGTACTTTACTTTCTTTCTACCTCTCATACAATGGGAACCCATATGTAAATTCAAACCCTTACTAGCATTAAAAGAGGAAGGAAGCAAGTGCGTTGAGAAGGGAGGGGAGGGAAATAGAGATGGTGTAGATGGCATAGGGGATGTTACCCAGCTTGTGGCCTTGGTGGTTGGCAGAATCCAAGGAGGCCAAGGAAAAACCTTTCCCTTTTTATTGTGTGATCTTCTTTATTCTCTCTTTGGTTGATAGAGGTTCAGAAAGCTGGTAGGGTTTCTGTGAAGGGAGGGGGAGGATAGGTTGGCCGAGTAGGAAGAAGCCGGACTCTGGAGAGGTTTGAATACCAGGTAAGGAGATTAGATTTGATCCCTGGGGGACAGGGAGTTGCTGAAAGTCTTTGAGCGTGGAGGGATGTTATGTTTACATTTCCAGATCAGTCTAGAGTCTATATAGGTGGAGAGAGAGGAAAGACTAGAGATTGATAGATTGCAGTGGTCTGTGAGGTGGGCAGAGGCTAGCTTTGTGAAAAAGGAAAAGGAAGAATAAATCAGGAGAAACACATAGAGTAGGGCAGGATTTTAGGTTTTTTTCGAGTCTGGCTCAGCTGAAGGACTCCCATCCACTATAGGCTTACTCTGGCAAGGATTTGCAATTGCATGTAGAGGTTTTTACCCCAGGGCAGACAGTGTTTAACCATGTTAGAAACATCCAGAGAACTTTTAACCCATGCTCATGTCTGGGCTTCACCTCTGATCATCAGACATAATTGGTCTGGAGGAGTTTCTCGGGCAGGGTTCAACTGAAGAAGCGTACCTATACATGAAGGGCTCTGTTACAGGAATTTGAGCATATGCAATTGTGGGAGCTGGGTAAGTAGTCTCTGTAAGGTGTTGTCTTTGTGTCTGATGCTGAAGTTTGAAGGACAGGACAGGCAGACAGGAAGGGAAGAAGGATGTAAAGTGGGGGATAGATGGAAAAAGTGAAAACCAGCTGGTGCCCATGGTGAGGGACTAAAACCGATGTCACTTCCTGTTGCCTCTGACCTGGCTGGTGTGGGTGTCCTGCAGAAACTGGGGCCCTTTGTCAGAGGGCTAACAACATTCACCTGGCCCAGGTGCAGGTCTAGTTGCAGGTTTATGCCAACAAGATGAGCCAGCAGATAAGCGACAATGTATGAGGGCTATGAAATGGATGTTGCTTCACTTCCCACCCCCAAAATTGCCCCCAAATCTCTTTTGTGGCCCACCTTAACCAGAAAGGGAATTCTGGGAAATGTTGTTTAGCCTAGCCAAGTTGACTTATTACAAAGCCTGGGCATTGGTATCTTTTAAAAGCTCCCCACGTGATTTTCATGTGCAATGGTTGAGAACCCGTGACTTAGGTGATTCTGAGGTGGAGGTTGACAGAGCCTTACTGGTCATTCTGAAATGCCCCCCTGCTCCCCTGAGAGGCACTCATGTAATGTAGTAGAAAAGAAACAGGGAGAGATCAAATACCACAGAGAATACTGAAGTGTTGAAGCTGGGAGGTGTGTTGCAATGGGTAAGGAGGAAGTAAGTGATGAAGCAATGGAAACCATGGATCTAGAGCATTCTTTTGAGAGTATGTCAGTAAATGCAAAAAAAAAAAAAAAAAAAAAAAAAAAAAAAAAAAAGGAAAAAGGCAGTTAGAGGAGTTAGCTAGATCAAACAAGCACATTCAAATATATTCTCAAGTACTGGGGGAGGGTCAGGCTTGACTTCTTGTCCTTGTGGGCTTTTTCAGCCCTTTGCTTGTTTCCTGTGCCTGGTTCTTAGGATTCCACAGCCTGTCTGGTATCACAGAACCTAACCTTGCCTTCTGTCATATGGGGTATGTGAGGGATGACCTGTGCCCAGGTCACCGTGGTTATGGGGTATTTCATAGAGAGAAGCTCAATCTATAGTTTTTGAATTGGGTTAAAATGAGAAAAGATGATTTAGCAGATAATGATTGAAACTCTTGAAGAAAGAAAAGGGCTGGAAACAGAGGCCCGTAGGATATACAGAAAGCATAACATGTAGTTCGGTAGGCTGTTTGACACTTTCAGAGGAAAATACGATGGAACAATTTGGTTCACATGCATTTCACAAATACGGCATATAACTTTAATGATTATTTTCACAGGTGTTTTGTTGCATTCTTATAACATTTACATTGGTTGCACATGCACTAAAGGACTATATTGTTTAGTTTAACCATGTGCTAACAGTCAGAAAACAGGATAAAGTTTATGGCGTGTCTTCATATAATTTGTATGTTGTTTGATAAATTTATGTTATTTTTTGTTACTATTTTGCTGTCTTCTATTCTCAATTCATAAAAACAGATCATTGGGGCCAGGTGCGGTGGCTCACATCTGCAATGCCAGCACTTTGTGAGGCCAAGGCAGGTGGATCACCTGAGTTCAGGAGTTCTAGACCAGCCTGGCCAACATGGTGAAATCCCATCTCTACTGAAAATACAAAAAATTAGCCGGGTGTGGTGGCAGGCACCTGTAATCCCAGCTACTCAGGAGGCTGAGGCAGGAGAATCACTTGAACCCTGATGAGGCAGAGGTTGCAGTGAGTCAAGATTGCACCATTGCACTCCAGCCTGGGCAATAAGAGCAAAACTCAGTCTTAAAAAACAAACAAAAATAAACAAACTAAAAAAAAAAAAAACCCAGATGATTGGTTTACAAGTGGTTCTCTGGAATAGACATGCATTCAAAGAATCAAAAACCATGTCTCAGAAGAACTTTGTAAGCTTAATGAAGAACACTGCAGTATGAATATGGAATATTAATCTGTGTGTGCTGGGACAAGTAAATTTGAGAATGAGGACTTCATACAACAGACAAAAATGTAAAGGGCAAATTGTATGCATGATAATGAATATCAGAAAAAAAAATTTGTAGTGACCTGAGTCTACCCCTAATTTTCCATGGTTTTGTTTGTTTGTTTGTTTTGTTTTTACTGTGAAACTTGGTTAAATTGTAATATGAAGCTCTCAGGTCACTTCCTAACAAATCAAAGTGATCTCTATGGTAAACCAATTGAATTTTCCTGGAACAAATGCGACATAATGGTTTCTAATGTATTATATTGAGTGATATTGTCAATGAAGTTAGAGAAGAGAATAAAACAAAGTTGTTCAAACCTGCACTCCTGCCAGCCAAATGATTACAGTTCACATGGTTCCTGAAACACTTTAAAAAGATAGCTACGAAGTCAGTGACAAATAGAAGACAAAGCAGAATGAAGTATTGGCAACATTCCTCTTTTAGAAGGTACTATTAGATCTCAAGCTTCAGTGTGCATCAGAATCAGTCACCTGAACGCTGGGCCCCACAGTTTCTGATTCAGTAGGTCTGGGTTGGAGCCCAGAAATTTATACTGATGATCAGTTTCCAGATGTTGCTGCTGCTGGTTCAAGACAACGCTTTGAGTTCCTATCACATACGCACGCTAGCAGATATTTTGCTTGACAGGTGAGCATGCTAGCGATATTTTCTTTGGACAAAGTCATTCTTGTACAGGATATGAACCAGTTGTCTACTTGTGCCATGCATGAATGAGTGAAATATGCTCAATGACTTCTCATTGGAAAATCCATGCTAAAGAAAGGAAGATTTTTTTCTCTCCCAGTTAATTACATCCCCTATGATGTAGGCTGGGAAGGGACTGTGGCATTGGTAGTGAAGGAGCACCAACCACAAGTGAGCAGACAAGGGCTTCACTCTGTGACTAAATGTGGTTGCATTGAAATGTCTGTCAACACTTTATTCACAGAGAATGGTTGGTGGTATAATAAGCCTTTGTTCTTGATTCAGGGTTGAGGAAAATAGAGAAAAATGTGAATATGATCTAAAGCCAGGCACGGTGGCTCATGCCTGTAATCCCAGCACTTTGGGAGACAGAGGTGGGTGGATCACCTGAACTCAGGAGTTCGAGACCAGCCTGGCCAACATAGTGAAACCCCCTCTCTACAAAAATATAAAAATTAGCTGGGCATGATGGAGGGTGCCTGTA